GTTGACGAGCTTGGGTGTACCTTTGTTTCTCAAATAGTAATCAAAGTCTTGCAAGGAAGTACCATTTTGCTTAAGGAATTTTCTTGTTTTCTAGGAAGGAGGAACTATAAAGTGTAATGACTGTGGGTCACGCTAATTTTCAGTGTTCTGAAAAAACCAGCCCCTATAAACAGGTTTGTAATATTTGAAATAAAAGTCCTGGTAGAATACCTAAGATAGTTTGAAACATTTGTCATATACTCACACTGATGCCCCCAATGTGGTGTAGAACCAAAAGTGAAAAACCCAAACTATTTCTTAATTATACAGAGTATCAAGCTTAATGTGTTACTGATGGTCTCCTGAACTCAAGAATATAGTTTCTTCTATATGCATATATATAATAACTAGATTTACACATAAAATTAAGAATTTCGGTATATATTGTTTTCCTCTTCTACGGTAGTACCTGGATTTCAAAGAGCTCCTTCCTTACTGCCGCATATTGTAAACGCTACCCCTTATGTATTCAATTCATGTAGAAAAGCAACAGAGTAGGGAATTTCTATTGTCATTGGTGTATCCATCCTTGAGCAACACCAGGACGTCGCTTGCGTTGGTCAATTCAAACAGTCGATATTCAGGTTTGTAATCCGTACTGCCAGTTTCTACCGCTTCAAACTTTACTACAGCAACTGTTCGCTTTTGTGAAAAACTTCCAAGTAGGAGGCCAAGCGTCCATGCCTTTCTCACTAGAGATTGCAGAATCCAACTTTTGGGCTTGCACGTCCACCTTAAGTGCTGCACTCAGCTCCTCTGTTCCCATCACCTCATTCTTGATAACAAGCAGCTTGTTGGCAATGTCCGCCATGCTTGGCCGATCTGCACTGCGCTGCACAGTGCAGCTCAGAGCCAGCTTGGCCAGGCGCATCACAGCATCATTGGGGGCATCTATGGTGAGTTCCTTGAGGCGGGCAGGGTGGTCGGAGGAAAGGCACGCCTCCACCTGATAGATTTAGAGAAGGTGGGAAGGCAACATGGCAGAAGCTAGATTTGGCTTTAAGAAGGAGACACTTCAAGGCCGAGTGATTGCATGGTTTTGGTTGAAAGAAAACAGCAGGCCAACGAACAGAAGCAAGGTTGGGAGGAGGGATGAGCCCTCTATAAGAATGACAGGGTTATCAAAACATGTGTCAAGACTAATATGGTGAAAAGGCACGCCGTAATTGACACAGTAAACAGAAGGCACACGTCAAGGTGAAGCCAGTGAATAAGGCACTCTTGGAAGCAGACATGGTAATTTGGGAACACATCAGGATTGACTGCGTGAACATGATACAGTGCAAGGCTGAACCATTCATCATGTTGAGAAAGTGGCCATATGTACCATCATAAGCAGCATTCCAGGTGCACTGGTGGTATTGTGTGGAGCAGTGGTGCATGGCAGGGATAGGTATTGGCGCATTGCTTACCCATGACAGGATGTGGTCGCACTCTCCTTCATCCACATGGAGTGGCCGGCTCCGTTTCGTGAGCACCACAAGCATGAGCACACCAAAACTGCACAAGCAGGGGGACAGAGATTGAAAGTAAGCACCACGTTACGTGTGTTGGGTTGAAAAAATTCCCCTTCCACCGAACCTGATTTACCGGTTGAAAAGTTCACCTAGCCAAAGTGTGTATGTCGCCTGCGCAAGTTCACGTAGACATCATGACGTGCTCACCTGTAGACGTCGGTGGCGCTGGTCGCCTTGGACGTGCGGAAGTAGATGGGATCAACATAGCCCGGTGTTCCCATCACTCGAGTCGTGCCCACAGTGGTGCCCTCCTCCGCCCTCACAAGTCCAAAGTCCGCAATCTTGGCCTGATGGATGGAACGACCATAAGAAGTAAGCACAAGTACAAAGAAACATTGAAAGTCTAATATTATGTGATAGAAGATACCTGGAATTTGATTCTGCTTGTCAGGATCTATAAACTCTTGTCAACGCAAGACTCATACCACAGTCATTGCGACTATGCTAACATCGCTGCCTTCATGGTGCTTTGATGCTATTAAGCATAGTAACTCTCTGATTGGGTGTACCAGAACTAACTTCCAATCACGCAACAATAGTTTGACTGCATGTTTTCTCCAAGAAGGATGTTGGCGGGTTTGATGTCGCGATGCACGAGGCCAAAGCCGTGGAGGTATGCCAAGCCATGTGCAACACCGATGAGGATGTCCAGCTGCTGCTTCATGGTGAGGCACCAGTGCGCTTCTGCAAAGATCGGTCGTACGAGTGAGACAATGTTAGCTGGTTGATTTTGTCACTGAGGAAAGAAAAGAAGGACAATAGTTAGCTTGTGAAGCACTGGGTGGTACCTGTACTGATCCACTTCTCAAGGTCACCATTGGGTAGGAACTCGTAGATCAAAATTTGCTCTGGCCGTGTTCTCATGTCCCCTCCAACAGCAAACCCAAGCAGCCGCACAATGTTGGGATGGTTCTTGCCGGCCATTTGTCGCACCTTCCAAAGAAACACGCCATTATGGGATGGTGGGAAAACAAGTTTTGACATTTTGGATTGAGAGTTTTCTTTCAAATCTTCACTGCTTACACCGCGCAACTGTGTGAGTATGCTGGAGGAAATGGATTGCATGCAACAAGGTATGCATGCTTCGGAAACGACCAAGAGGATCCGTCTCTCTCTTTCGCTCCAAGGCGGACGCCCCTGCTGCGATCGTCACCTGGAAGGCTCGAGCAGGCATGCACCCATTTTGGGCACCCTGTTCGCCGCATTCACCCTGATGGCGGCGGTGAGTGTCGCAAGTAAGGTATCATCCTATTGTCAGCCCCATGGCATTCGCCAAACTCAAACCCTCCTTCACTCCCTACAGCCAAACGGTGTGGCTGAGAGTGTTTGGAAGATCACCAAGACTGCTCGCTGTCTCCTTGTCCAGTCCTTCTGCCCCTCTTCTCTGTGAGGCTATGCCTTCCTTCATGACGCTTTCCTCACTAACCTCTACCCTCACTCCTTGCACCCCACCACTCCCACTGAGCTGTGGACGTCGGCCAAGCCGGATGTCTCTCTTCGCGTGTGGGGCTCCATAGCACATGTCCTCATACACCCCACCCCACTGATCGCTCCCTTTCCATGGGCAAGCTCGCCCCCCATGCCCTCCCCTGCATCTTTTTCGGCCATCTTTCACCCCTCCTCAGGTCGTCTCATGTGTAGTTGGGATGTGGTCTTGATGCGTCCACCCCCCTATAACTTCTCCACCCCCCTCCACGTACCCACTCCCCCCTCAGGGGTTTTAAAACGTCACGGTTAAGTAGGTGGAAACTAAGTGTCAGCCCTGGTTTAATTTAGTGGACCCCTTTTTGGGTTTACACACGCAAATTTCCCAAGCCTGTAGTCCGGAGGCAGTGGGCGAACCCGAACATGTTCGGTCGCCCGAACATTTGACATGTTCGCCCATGGGTAACATGTTCGCCCACGGTGGGCGAACACCAAACACCTTATTTTCCAAAAAGGGTTCGGGCGAACCGAATTTCCGTGAGTGTTGAAGCGAACACTTTCGGTGTTCGCCCGTTGCTCATGTCTAGCCACCGACGAAGAAGAGGGTGGAGCAGGCGGTGCTGTAGGGATCGGTTTAAGAGGATTGGGTGGAGGGATCCGCTGTTGAGATCAAGAACGCAGTCTAGGTCGTTCACGTGCCGGAAAAACTCAAAATCACAAGACTTTAATTTTGGACAAAACTGTCGGCTTCACACGAAATGCCGTCGATGAAAAGCACACTGTTAAAACTTCACCAATTTCAAATATGCTGTATCTCTAGACCGAGGCTAAAATTCTCAATATGAATCGCATCAAAAGATGAAGTCAATATTTAGTGATGAATTTTGGCTCACTGGGGGGTATGCTGGAGCTGAAACTTAACTCAAACTCAATATTCTCCCCAAGAACCACAAAAGAAGTAGACTACCTAAAAACCAGGTGGGAGAGGATAAGGAGAATGAGAGGGAAGGTCGCTAAAGATTCACCATCCAAGGAAACCTCATAAACACATCAATTCCCTATTTTTAAGGAACCAAACTTTTCACCCTTATCAATTTCCCAACCCATGTCATCTATCTCATCCAACTTAGCCACATTTGCCAACCTGGTTTGGTTTCTCCCAACCACTTGACAGCAACTACAGTTACATGACAAATTTCTCCAACCCCCAATGGTCCATACACCATATAGAGTCACCACACAAATTTCTTTTGGTAGAACCCATAGCAGGTCGCAACGAAATATCAAAAGCATACGAACTTCAACCGTTTGTAATTTTCTTGTTTGTGCTCCGAGTGAAGCGATCCTTTGTTCGTCGGAAAGCTCTCGAACAGAAATCATTTTAGATACCTGCTCAAACAAAACCCAAACCGTCACCACACAGCATCAACACGGAACGTAAAAGCGAGGACGTGATGAGAACTCGAGAGTGGAGAGAACTAAGACTCAGTGGAGGGTATTATGCACCCTGCTTAGCACGGAAGGATTGGTGCATGCTGTGGGAGTCCAAAAAACATATTTTGCGAGTACAGGAAGGTATCAGGAAAAGAATGCATCAGGGCCCTCCATGAACAGTCATAGGCAATGGGCGGCAGGCAGCAATACGGGCTATGTGCTGCTGTTTACCTAGGCCTCTTCTTGCATTCATATACTAACCTTACCACCGCCTCCTGTCCTTTCCACCCTCCCCATTACCCTGCCCACTGTCATCCTATCCTCCCTTTCCCCCACCCCACCCTCCCCCTGTTCTGTAGAGTACTGACCTGGTTCCCTCTACTTGAAAATTTAACATGAACAAAGACTATAAAGCGGCTGTGAATGATAATCCAGTGCAACTTATCCACCATTTCATTCCATACCCTCTGCTTGCTTGCTACCTATTGTAAAACCCAACTCTATGCATCATCCAGGCCTTTTGAAGGCAAGAAGAAGAAAAATCTCAAGAATCAGTAGAGGGGAGGGGAAGAAGTTGATTGTTACCATCAATATCCCTCAATAGCACATCCTTGCTCTCCTTGACTGCAGTTGCTGCTCCTTCTGATCCACCTTTTTTGTAGCCCCTCCACCATACCAGTGCAACAACCAGCAGCAGCAGCAGCACAGAAACCACAGCAATACCCGCAATGGCTGCTGCTGACAAGCTGCTAGGCTGGGGGTTGGACGCTGCAGGTGAGGGGGGAGGTTTTTGGGAGGCATTGGGGGGTGATGGGGACGCTATAGTGCTCCCTGGCGCTGGAGGAGGCAATGGCATGGCGGGATGCGCATGGACATGGAAGGGGAAGGAAGGGAAGGGATACATGAGCAAACAAGTTGAGTAAGAAAATAACACGGTTTATCAACTTGGCATTTACGAGGACCTCAATTCTTCTTAGAAAAGGTAAAATTTGTATGTGTCAAGATCAGCTTGTCCATTCGGCCAAAAAACAAGCTGCCCTCACAGAAAACAACCGGCCCAAGTAAAAACTCGACTTGATTCGATACTGAAGCGAGTTAACACAAAAAAGTGCCGTTTTCCCTGGCTTGAAATTTGCTCGGGATGTTTCCTAGGAATCAACATGGGATGGGAAGCAATGGCACAGGAAGTAAGGAAGGCAGTGCATCGAAGAGAGCAGCTGGCCCCGTGCATCAAGTCAGCATGAGCATCCCATCGAGCAGCAGCAGCGCTGCTGATGCTTCCTAATGAAAAAAATCTTTATGCATCAGCAAAAGTGGTGGATAGTGGTGATGCTCAGGGTGTGGTGAAATGAAACACACAAGGCACGTGTTGGGAAGAGACAGCATGGGAGAAAGGATAGCACTGTGCGTCTCACATGCTGCTGCAGCCGTCACACAGGTGGAGCAGAAGGATTGGCATACGCCGCAGAAAGCACTTTGGGGATGTTGCTCGACCACGCACTCGGTGAAGTCACGCGGGCATGTGACTTCGGCAAACTTCAGATCCCTGCATGCATGTGCAGAAAGGAAATCAGGCAGTCCAGTCTAGAGGCACTCAACTCAATGACGTGAGATCGGTTGCTGCTGATGCACCTTAGGAAAGGGAACGGCTGGTTGCAGTGGTTGGCATATCACCTCGATGTAATGAAATGTTGGAGATTGTTTTTGAGAAGTCTCAAAAAGAACCTACAACATGGGCTTCAAGACGAACCTACAACATGGGCTTCAAGACGCTCAGCAGATTAAATCTGGCTGGGTTGCGAGTAGGATTCACAAGTTTCCATGTCTGACAACATTAAGCGTATTAACACGTATTTGCCATAAAGCTATCCATCCCATTGTCGCTAGAGCCTGGCAAATCTAAGACACACAAGCCCAAAAATGCAATTTGCCTTCACTCAAGCTGTGCTGGGTTTCCGCTGTTCGTGTCCAGCCAGCCCAGTGAAAACAATGTTGTACCGCCTGGTAGGTAGGGTGCCAGAAAAGTGTGAAGGAAATGAGTGGCTTTTCGTCCCCCTCCAGCTCACATAGTGTGAAGGCATGAAAGGGCAGCCACCAGCATATGACTCAGGGGCAGGCAGGTCTGGGGCCAAGCCAAGCTGCTTTAGGCCTGGAAACCAGTTTCAACTAATGTGCTTTGTTGGCTTGGTTGCTCTTGGCTTTAATTAATAAAAAGATTATAGATACTTGTACATAAACAGTGGAAACGAACGCAGTATTACTGACAGCACAGCAAGAGCATTCACATGAAGGAAAGCTGGGTTTGGTACATTGACCCGACTTTTTGTTGCCGGCCCTAAGAATGCTCTTAATTGCATGTCGAGACGAAAGAACGGCTTCAGACAAACATACTTCCATGCCAAGCTGTGCTGACATGACACTGAGGAAGCCAGTTCTGGCAATGGGCTGACTGGCCTGGCCTGTCAATTCAAGGCAAGGAAGAGAGGCTCTTACAAGACACGAAGGTCCTTGAGACTTCCGAGCGAAGCAGGAAGGTTGCCCACAAAGTTACTTCGGGCAAGGCCCCTGTTGAGAGAGCAATGAGTGGAACGCATATGAGAAGAATAGTGGATAGTTTTATATATTGCGAGTCGAATATGTCTAAGGGTCTTTACTGCTGCTGCTGCCACTGCCGGGTCTCCAACTCTGCTTCCTTTCTGCCATACCTTAGCACTACTTAACTGCTCACTCTTCCCAAAAGTGCCTGTGTTCCGTCTGTTTGAGATATTATTACTCCACCTCAACATGCTCTTCCCTACTGGTTGAGCAGATGGTGAAATGCACAGCCAAACTCCGGACCAAGGAAGACAGCAAAAGACCAAGCACAGACCGGTTCACCCTCCTATTTACACACGCAATCCAGCCTAGGTGAACGTGTATGATGAGGCGATTTTTGAGTCGACTAAAAAATCGCCTCATCACACATACGTGTATTTGCCTCATCTCAACGTAGAGATGAGCATCTGCCCCGCTCGGGTCGGGTCGGCCCGGGTTGGGTCAGTGGTTTCATTTGCCTGCCCCGTGCGGGCCGACCCGACCCGACCCGACCCAAGCATGGAACTCGGGCCAAGTCGGGTCGGGCTTGACCCGACCCGAATTCGGGTCAGGACCAGGGAAGTCGGGTCGGCCTTTTGGCCCGACCCGAGTTCGACACACTGGGGACGAAACCCATGGTCAAATTGTTGTCGAGGGGTTTGTTATCCCCTCGACATCAGAACCTACCCACGCTCTCAATCAATCTTGCCTAACGGCAAAAAACAAGTCACTTAAGCTTAGAAACTACTTAGTTACCACCCGTTCAAATCTCAGTAATAGACATTAATAGCTAGTTTACTTTGTATCCTGCTGTTCACGGAAAATTGCGATGCAGGAATGGCGTTTTTTTACAACATCGCGTTTTAATAGCGATACTTCCATTCACAGGCTGCACGCCTCGTTTTAGGCCAGCAGTTGCTCATAGGCGCGCCAGCAACTAACATTGCACCATTTCGTAGAGGCTCTTAGGGGCTATCCTGGGCGGGTCATCTTGGCCCGGCCCGACCCGACCCGTGACCGGGTCCAAGTTGACCCGAGTGTGTAGGCCCGGGTCGGGCCAGGACATTGAGCACCCTGGCCCGATGTTGGCCCGATCCGACCCGACCCGGGAGCCCGTGTGGCCCGGCCAAGTCGGGTCGGGTCGGGTGGGGCCGGGCCAGATGCTCATCTCTATGTCAACGTGTACATGCATACGAGCAAGCTCTCTAGATGTGCACACGCGTGGGGAACGTCCAACACAACAGCACACCACAAAGACTAGCACAAGGAATAAAGAGGGCAAGTTCATTCACCGACAAGCACAAGGAATAAACAGTCACCGTATTTAAAGATCAGGTGCGCGGTGATTTTACATTCAACCATGATGACTAGAGTCAGCCTAAGAAACAATAGACGAGACAGTCGGCCCTTCCAGCAGGTGGCCCACTCACAATTGGGTCAAATATTGAAGGTTGGCCAATGTTGGTGGTAATGCGCCAGCCAGCATGTTTTGCCCAAGATTTCTGCACTTTGTAGAAAACCATCGAGCCATGGGTGGTGACGAGCCAAGGGGGGTCGACAAGCCAAGGGGGGTTGACAAGCCAAGGGGGGTTGACGAGCCAAGGGAGGTTGACGAGCCAAGGGGGGTTGACGAGCCAAGGGAGGTTGACCAGCCAATTGGGGTTGACGAGCCAAGGGAGGTTGACGAGCCAAGGGGGGTTGACGAGCCAAGGGGGGTTGACGAGCCAAGGGAGGTTGACGAGCCAAGGGGGGTTGACGAGCCAAGGGGGGTTGACGAGCCAAGGGAGGTTGACGAGCCAAGGGGGGTTGACGAGCCAAGGGAGGTTGACGAGCCAAGGGGGGTTGACGAGCCAAGGGAGGTTGACCAGCCAAGGGAGGTTGACGAGCCCAGGGAGGTTGACGAGCCAAGGGGGGTTGACGAGCCAAGGGGGGTTGACGAGCCAAGGGAGGTTGACGAGCCAAAGGGGGTTGACGAGCCAAGGGGGAGTGATGCGCCAAGGGGGAGTGATGCGCCAAGGGGGGGTCATAAGCCGCCCAGTATGAACGACTGCTACAAGAGTCACGGCTCCCTGGTTGCTTGCGCAACTGCTTGAGATAGTTGCGCTGCCTAAGATAGGTAGCCGCGCTGCTTAAGATAGGTAGCTGCACTCATATAGGTAGTAATAGCAGTCACGCACAGGTTTGTGAGCCTGCTAATGGATTCGGGAATCGCGCCCGTGAAGCTGTTGTAGCTAAGATCTCTAATGACGGCACAGAGGAGGAAGGGTACACACGAGGAAAGAATGTTATACCTTATACTGTATGTTGGACGCACATGTGAGTTAACCTTGGTGAGGAACATATGAACACTGTTGACGCGGGAAAATGATTACAATTGTAACCATGATACATTTCATAACTCTCCCACATGTTTTCCCTCCCTTACTACATACCTACCACCACTAGGCACAGCACATGACCTTCAAGACTCAGCCACTGGCCCATACAGTGCCGAGGCCATGACTGACCATCTCTCGGCTCCTCTGAGACAGATCCGAGCAGATTGGCATTTTGCTCACAAAAACATGAATTGGTCATCTTATCTTGCTCAATAAAATGCGCTGATCTGGCATAGAATGCTAAGTTACTGTGGAGTGGACGCTGAGAATGGTCAGCGCCCGGCATCTAGACGCCGCGGCAGACTGCAATGTCCATGGATAGTGCACTACATGGATAGTGGATAGTGCACTACATGGATAGTGCACTACATGGATAGTGCACTACATGGATAGTGCACTACATGGATAGTGCACTACATGGATAGTGCACTACATGGATAGTGCACTACATGGATAGTGCATTACATGGATAGTGCACTACATGGATAGTGCACTACATGGATAGTGCACTACATGGATAGTGCACTACATGGATAGTGCTGTGAAAGTAGCAAATTGAACAAGTAACTTCATTAGAGGAGAAACCTAGCATACATAGTTGGAAGAGAGGCTTGGAAGAGAAGGGTGAAGGTGACCATAGGGTGAGGCAACCCTAGGCCCACTTGGCTTGAGATGACCTCACTTGTGGGAAGTGAGGCACCCATAAGCCAAGTGGGTTGCATTTGGGGGCTCCACCACAATTGGGTGGATTGGCACCCCAAAGTGCAAGACTACACCCAAAGTTGGGTGTAGTCCCAACCCAACTGTACACCACAATTGGTGTACAGTCACATGTGTTGGCATGCTACACAACATATATTTTAACACAACCCCTTAGCATGCTAACACAGGAAGAGAACAACCCCTGAATCAAGGGGCGCCCGGGCGAGCGAGGCCAATGAGGCGGAGGAAAGCAGAGTGCGCAGGGCGAAGGAGGGCCTTAGTGAAGATGTCGGCCAAGTTGGCCTCGGTCGCAATCTTGCGAACGCCAATAAGGCCCTTCTGGACGAGCTCGCGAATGAAAAAGTAGCGGAGCTCGATGTGTTTGGAGCGGGCGTGATAGACGGGGTCCTGAGTGAGATGGATGGTGCTGGCATTGTCGCACCAGAGGGTGGGGCACGTCTGGGGGGCGCCAAGCTCTGCAAGAAGGAAACAAAGCCAGCGGGACTCCTGGGCGGCCATGGTGCCAGCGTAGAGCTCGGCCTCGCAGGTGGAGAGAGAGATGGCGGAGGAGCGGGTGGAGCGCCAGCTGATGAGGCCGCTGCCAAGGGTGAAGCCGTAGCCCTGGGAGGAGCGGCGGTCCGGCTGCGTGTCAGCCCAAGAGGAGTCACTGAAGCCCGAGAGAAGAGGAGGGGAAGGGCCGCCAAGGGTGAGGGCAAGGTCCTTGGTCCCGCGAAGGTAGCGGAGGACCCGCTTGGCAGCTTTCCAGTGCTCCTCAGTGTGACGACCGGTGCCGACAAAGCGGGCGAGCACGCTGATGGGGTAGGCGAGGTCGGGGCGGGTGCACATCATCGCGTACATCAGGGACCCAACGAGCTCGGCATAGGGGTGGGGGGAGGAGGTGGGGGAGGAGGGTGGTGCGAGTTGGTGGCCGAAAGGGAGGGGGGTGGAGACAGGCTTGGCCTGCGCCATGTCGAACTTCTCCAAGACCTGGCCGATGTAGTGGGACTGTGAGAGGGTGATGGTGCGAGCAGGGCGGTTGCGCGTGATGGCCATGCCCAGGTAGTGAGTGAGGGCGCCAAGGTCTTTGCACTTGAGACGCTGCTGCAGGGACAGCTTCATCTGCTCCATGTCAGCCCTGGTGTCAGAGAGCAGGATTATGTCGTCCACATACACCAGAATGAAGAATCGGCGGGGGGAGGAGCGGATGAAGAGGCTGGCGTCGGAGTGGGAAGCAGAGAAGCCGAGAGACCCTAAGGTGGCAGCCAGCTTCGCATGCCACTCACGCGGTGCCTGCTTCAAACCGTAGACAGGGCGGCGCAGCTGCCAGACAGTGTTCTCAGGGAAGGCTGCGTGGAACCCGGGGGGTCGCCGGAGGAAAATGCGCTCGTGCAGGTCGCCCTGCAGGAACGCATTGGAGACGTCCATGGAATCGATCTCCATGTTGTCACGTGCGCCAATGTCGAGGGCGGCGCGAAGGGTGGGTGGTTTGGCGGTGGGGGCGTAGGTGAACCAGTAGTCCTCGGCCCAAGTCTGCGTGAACCCCTTGGCGCAGTAGCGGGCCTTGTACACCGGTTCCTCGCCCGGCAGCTGCTTCACCCGAAAGACCCATTTCCCGTCCACGAGGTTGGCGCCGGCTGGGAGGGGGACATCGACAAAGGAGTCGTTGCGAATGAATGCCTCACACTCCAGGAAGATCGCTGCTATCCATTTATCCGCGTCAGGGCAGGTGATGGCTTCCTGGAAGGTGGAGGGAGTGAAGATGGTGGGGGTGGTGGTGGCGCCAAGGACAGGAAAGCCCAGGAAGTCAAGGTAGAGGGAGGCAAGGAACGGAGTGTGCTCCCGAATGTTGAGGAACTCCTCATGGGAGTCCTCAAGGAGCTGAATGGAGGCAGGAGGAGGAGCCCCAAGGAT